GGTGACCAATTCCTGCATCAAAAAGGCTCATGTATTCCTTCCTGATTTTGCAGGAATTCAGGATAGTTTCCTTTAACTGGAATTCTTATGGCAAAATGTTCACAGGGAACAGAAGACTTAGGAACTGGCCAATTTTTTTTTTTTCTGAAAGTTCAGCAATGCAAGTTTGAAAAATAAATTATTTTACACACACATCAGCCTCATACAAAGCTAATGGCTCAACTTGAAGCCTGTTGTTGTCCATCTAGTGAGCTGATCTCACTAGATGGACAACAACAGGCTTCAAGTTGCTTGATCAGGCTACCCTGGAATTCTGGTGCCTAATTGGGTAAATACTGTCCAAACTGCACGGATGGGATGGGTAATGGTTGCACAGCTGCAAAGAGCTCTTCCTATCCATAAAATAAGTGTGTCCAGTCTAATTAATATTGTGATATTAATTAATTCATAAAGGTAATGAATTCTCCCGGGCCAATGGTTTCTCCTTCGGTTTGTTGGTATTATACTGGTTTTGCAAAGGGACAATCATCAGACTAGTGTTCCAGCTTCTGGAGACTTTATTCATCACAGCATTCTGAAGATAGGAGAAAATATTTCTGACACATTTCATGCTTTCACTTCTGAAATGCAGAACAGTTGTCACTTCAGACATGATCTCATGAGGTCTTCCTTCATCAGCATCTCTGAGCAGTCAATCTGTCCCTTTTGCGCTTCAATTTTGTGCTTCTGGGCTGATAGAAAATGTAGCTTGTTGAGCTTGCTGGGAGAGCCTAGAGATAAAATATTTTGTGGACAAGTGTTGAGGTTGAGAATATCAGCTTCACAGTGATTTTTGACATGACTTTCTCCAGAGCACCACTATCCTGAAGAGCTGACACTGAATCATGGCTCTTGGTGACAAAACCAGTCATGCCATGAAAAAACAGCACAGAACTTATTATCTAACCTTGATGATCCCAGAGGATTTGTGGACCTCTTGTCTTTACTGGGCCCCCTTGTTTTTCCTTTCAGCTCTGAACTCTCCACAGTGACACTGGCAGGGCTCCTGTCACTGATACGAAGAAAACCCACCCCAGCCAAAGCCGGACTCTTGGCACCTCTGTGACACTGAGTTACACAATTTGAAGAAAAAAAAAGGGTTTTTAAGGCTAAGTGGGGAGGAGGAGGCTTTTGCCTAAAACTTATCATGTGCACTGTAAGCACAGACATTCAAGTTTTAGTGGCAATTGTGATACTTTTGTTTTCCAAAGTGTGTGCATGTGCTCTAATAAGAGGGAGTTACTGGGAATGGATAACTAGCTGTAAAAAATGTGGCCAAGGTAAAACCTTTCAGGTCCATTCATGCCTGTGAATTAATTTAGTTTTCCCTTTTAGGATCTTAAGTTATGAAATGTTCATGCAAAGCATTACCAGTTAAAGTGATCCAAGAGACAGTCTATTATGCCAAACACTAATCACTAGACAGTAATTAAGCCTGTCAGTTACAAAACACAACATTTGTGGTATTTCTAAATGAAGCAACAGCCCATGCCATTTGTCAAAAACAGGGATTGGTTCAGACAGGTAAGAGCCTCTTCCTTTGACAGTTGCCAGCTTAACTTCTGAGCAAATTAAAGCCCTGTGCCATTGTGCCAGTAAGCCTTGGTTTGACAGAAGATCTTACATTCTCAGTGCAAGCCCACAGATAATGAAAGAAAAATTTCCTAAGAATACAATAGAGATTTTCTCCCTGATTTTCAGCAAAAAGGCAGATTATTACTCATCTCATCATTTGAGACCTCAGGACATTCCTTTAACACATGCATGAGCAGAAATTAAATACCACAACACCCTGAAGAGTTTAATGAAACTTGTTTTATGGCTTTTTTGGACATGAGGTGTGTATTAAGTCAAGCATTTTTGAACAGTCACCATGAAAGTTATGGAACAGGATCCATTTTGAGGGTTAAAATAGTAATTCAGTGGTTCACTAGATTAGGGGCCCAAGTACACTTAGCTGTCCATGTGCCTATACATTTTGCTCCTAGGCTTAAGTTAAATTTTCACTCACATTTACTTATATTTACCTACAGTTCCCCAGAGCCTGCTTGCTGGGAGAGATAGAAAATGAAGATGCACTTAAATCATTGTACTCGTTGGCCATGTTTTACTAGCATAAACATAGATAAAGAAAACACTTATGTTCAAATGCAGAAACAGTAACTGATGCTGCATGGGTGATGTAAACAAAACATGGTTGTGGCTGAACTCTCCAGCCTGACAGAAGGAAAAACATCTCATATATGCATAACTAACCATTGCAGCTGGTACTTGAAATGCTGCTGATGAAACCTCTGCATTTACAGAGTAAGAGTTATTTACTGAAGATGTCAGTGCAAAATTTTCTATGGTGGAAAACTGGTGCTATAATGGGCACAAATCCCCCATAGCCCTTCCTCAGTGCAGAGAGATGCTGTGTTTTCCTAAGAATATCTATGAGTATCTGCAGGTTTCATTTCATATAGTATCAAAATTCACCTTGGGAAGGCCTAGCATTTAATATGGGAAAAGGAAAGGCTTGCTAGAGATCAAGATACTTTCTTTCCATTATTTTAGTATAACTTACACATGATTTAATTTTTTTTCTTATAAGGTCACAGAATCATAGAATGCTTTTGGTTGGAAGAGTCTTCTCATTCAAACCCCCTTCTACTACATCACATTGCCACTTAACCAGGGCTTGAACACTTCCAGAGATATGTCAGACAGCTGCTCTGGGCAACCTATTCCAGTTCCTTACCAACCCCACAGTAAAGAATTTCTTCCTAATATCTGATCTAAACCTGCCCTCTTTTATTTTGAAACCATTTCCCATTGTCCTATCACTACATGCCCATATATAAAGTCTCTCTCCAGCTCTCCTGTAGTCCTTTCCTAAAAGGACTATAAAGATGCTTAAGGTCACCTGGGAGCCTTCCCTTCTCCAGGCTGAACAACCCCAGTTCTCCAAGCCTGTCTTCATAGGAGAGATGCTCCAGTTCTATGACTGTCTTTGTGTCCCTCCTCTGGGCTGACTCCAGCAGGTCCCTGTCCCTCCCGTGCTGGGAGCCCAGGGCTGGATGCAGGGCTCCAGGTGGGTCTCAGCAGAGCAGAGCAGAGGGGCAGAATCCCCTCCCTCCCCTGCTGCCCACGGGGCTCTGGATGCAGCCCAGGACACGTTTGGCTCTCTGGGCTGTGAGTGCCATGGCCGGGCCATGTGCAGCCTCTCACCCACAGCACCCCCAAACCCTTCTGGGCAGGGCTGCTCTGGGTCTGTTCATGCCCAGCCTGGGCTGGTACCAGGGGTTGTCCCACCCCGGGTGCAGGACCTGGCACTTGGCCTTGTTGAACTTCATGAGGTTCTCACAGTCCCATCTCTCCAGCCTGTCCAGTCCCTCTGGACGGCTCCCTTCCCTCCAGAGGGGACCACACCACACAGCTCAGCATCATCAGTGAACTTGCTGAGGGTGCCCTCGATCCCCCTGTCCCTGTCACCAATATATTGAACAGTGCTGGTCCCAACATGTTCCCCTGAAGGATACCACTTGTCACTGGTCTCCATTTGGATATTGAGCAGTTGATCCTGACAGCTCCTTATCCACTGAATGGTCCTTCCACCAAATCCATGTTCTGAGACAAGGATGTTGTGGGGACCACCCAGTTTCAAATGCTTTCCACAACTCCAGGTAGTGGATGTCAGTTACTCTTGCCTTGTCCACCAGCATTTTATCCCTGTTGTAGAAGATCAGTTTGCTGTTAGTGAAGCCTTGCTGGATGTCACCAGTCAATTTTCTGTTTTCCATGTGGCTTAGCAGAGTCTCCAGGAGGATGGGCTCTGTAATGTTTCCAGTCACAGTCTCACTGTGAGATGACACTAATCTGCTTGCAGTTTCCCAAGTCTTCCTTATTTTCTTTTTCAGAAATAGGGTTTATGATTCCCCTTTCCCAGTCAGAGGGATCTGCCATGACTTCTGAAATACAAAGGATAACCACTTAATCCATCTGTTCCCTCAGGACCCACAGATGCATCTCATCAGGCCCCATGACTTGTGCATCTTCAGGTTCTTTAGATGTTCTTGTACCTGATCTTCTCCTGCAGCAGATAGTTCTTCATTCTCCCAGTTCCTGCCTTTGCCTTCTCAGGCAGTCTGGCTTGGAGTTTTTGCTGGAGACTGAAGTTACAGGGTTTTGAGTACTTCAGCCTTCTCCATATGCTGGATAACCAAGTTTCCTCTGCCAGAGATGCACACACATTGCACATATCAGCTCATTGATGTGAACAGAAGTGTACCTTAATCAATAGCAGGAATGTTTTCCAGTTTGATAGAAGCCAGCACAAATGCTTTGGCAATTGTTGCTGAGAACAACCAGCTCACCCACCATGCCATTTTTAAGGCTAACAGGTCCAGATCCAAGTACAAGCAAGCTGCAGAACAGTGTAAGTAATTTTACTGCTTTGCACCAAGACCAGCACCAGTTGCTGGTGAGTCTGTGCTTCTCAGAGCATTTATTTGGTGAAACAATTGCTCAGACATTCAGACACTATACAGACATTTGGGGATTTCTTCTCTTTGTCAACACACCTTTTGTTTTGTCTATCAATCTATCTAGAGTCTGGCTAAACTTAGGCAGCTGTTTGGCCAGTATATGCAAGTAGATTTTATGAAATCCCAGATAAATAGGGAGAAGTAAATACTGAAAAAGACAGAAAATACTACTCAAATGTTTACTGAAATTGAAAAATAACAGCAAATCAAGACTTTTTTATTACATTTAAACAGCTTCAGTATCAGCACATGTAGGTGCTTTGCAGAGGTGAAACGCACTTAAGCTTCCAGCACCGTTTAGTCACAAAGAGTTATATTGTCTCATTTTCCACAGAGCTGGAAAGGAAGCACAGAATTCTCAAATCTTTTGCTAGTATCATAAGCCATCATTCTGCTGTTATAACCAGAAACATACAATTCTGGGGAATTACTTACTGCCAAATGAGGACAAAAGGAGAAACCTGTAGGAAGAAAGAAAGAGAATTACTATGGAAAAAAGATCCTGAACAAGACAGATATAAGATATTTAGTATGATTTTCCAGTGCAATATGGTAGTGAGAAAAAGTTATTTACAAGCTACAGGGCATTAGGCCATGGGGATGAGAGGTTGTATAACCCTGTCTGTAGGGTTATGTTGAGACCATTGCTTAAAATAATTCTGGTTTTGAGCAACTTACTATAAGAGTGATTGTGCCAAACTGGAATAGACTCAGATAACAACAAAACAATTATTAAATGACTGGATTTATGAGAAAAGATAAAGCAACTAAATATATACATAACTTGGCTATGAGACATCTAAAGGGAGGCATTAATTGTCTGTCAGTACAGTATTCAAATACATAAATGCCAAAGAGGCTGAAAAATCAAATAAATTATTTAGTGAGATATTAAGAGGATGTAGTTACGGCTAATGAAATAGTCTCCAGTGATAGGGCTGGAGAAAGGGCTGGCCCTCAACCATGTAATGCAGCAATAGTCTTCGGTCTTACTGAGTACATACATGTATGTGGGCCAGGGAGCAGAAAGTCAGGCATTAGAGGCAATTTCACTCAAAAATTAATTTGTGGCTAATGACATGCAAGTTTTGCTCTGGGTGGACAAACATCATGATCTATAAATGTAAACTCTCCAAATCCTTGTAGAAACAAAGTGTTTGGTATAAGGACTACAGCATCTAGCTATCAAAAAATGGAAGTTTCTGTGCAGGTTACACATTCATTGTGAACTCCAGTATTAGTCTGCTACTGTTTTACATCTGAAGAAAGCACATATGCATTGCAACTAAATAAATTTAAACTGCTCTGTGAATTTAAAATATTGTAATAGCCTGCCTACTGGATTTTCTAGCATGAGACAGAAACCTCCAGCAGCTTTTCTTTTGTTTCCATGTGTGATGCATGAAACTACATTTAATCTCAAACTCATTTAATCTCCTTCATTCCCTGGCAAAAAGCGTATAAAAACTTTGGAGATCTTTGGTTCTGCTAAAAAAATAGACCTCATCCATTTCCGCTGTGCTGTTACGGTTTTTATCTGTGGTGTTTTGTATGGAAGTTGCCAAACAACATCTGCGTTGCTCATGAAAAACAAATTAAAATGTTTTCAATTTGTTTAGATCAGCACAAAAATGTATTTTCACATCAAATAGTTCTTGTTTCAGCAGCTATCTGATGAAGAATTGACTCACAACACATGAGTCAGACTTGCTCCTGGCATTTTTATGCCTTAGGTAAAATACCAGCCCAAATACCCATTCAATTTCTTATCATGTTTGACAAGTTAATTTAAGAGTGTCTTCTATTCAGTGAGAATTTGTCTTTTTGATTTTGCTGTGCTTTCTTCTCTTATCCCATTTTCTTCAATCAGCTTCATGCTTCAGCATGTCCTTTTGTTCATGTTGTGCTTATTTACTAAGAATATTAAAATTATTTTTGCCATTCAGCCTCTCTTCATGCATTTCCTTTCTTTTCCTTCCCATGTACTGTTCTACTGGAGTCCCATATATACTGATCCAAACCATCCCAGATGTCACACTTTGCCACATAAAGAACCTTAAGGCTCGTGAATGCACTTACCTTTGAAGGGAAAGTGCCCTTAAAAGATGACCTTGGTACTTTTAAGGCCTACAGTGAAGAAGAAAAGTACAAATATAGCTGAAGAGGAAGAAAAAGCATTAGTTTTGACTGCAAAACTTCCTTTATTCTATTTGTATGTGTTTTTAATGATTCTTTCTTAGCGTATTTTAGTATCCGTCATTTTTCCATCATATCTTTGAACTGCTGTCTCCCCAAATCTGAAAGCAGAGAATACTTTGCAGTCCAATCTGCCAGTGCTGGGGCAGATGGATACTCTGTCCTTCACTTATAAATAGGAAGGAAGGACCATCCAGATAAGTTTCCTGACCTTGGTTCTGCAGGATTAGCTCAGACACGATTTATACAGATCCTTGACACACAAAGGTTGTCTTTTGGAAGATAGAATTAGATTTTGGCATGAAAACTCCATATGATCCTAAACAATTTCAGTTTAGTAAAAGCATCCAGGTTCCTGATCTAGAAGAGAAGGATGTGAGACAGGTGTAACAGCAGAGAGCTTTGTTGTTAAATCCTATTTTAAACTTTCAGTCAAAGGCCTGAAATTCATGTGCCCTTCAAGCAAGGGACCTTTCCAAGCTGCCACAAAAAGCTACAGTTCCTGCAATTCCTGCAAAATAGTCAGAAGCCGATGAATTTCACCAAGGATATGCTCTTTTCCTGTCCTTTGCTGGGAAGCTTCCCCTGTGAAACCTGTCAGACTATAGTGACCATTTAGAATGGATCTCCACAAAGACCTCAAGTTTACATTAAGATTCAGGAACATTTCAAAGAACAGGAGGTGAGATATACATATATTATACATTTATGTATATGCATACACATTTATATATGCATATGAACACACAATATACATTCATTAAACCTTTTGAGTATTCATATTTATTTAGAGAGTGTAGTTCAAAATTTAAGAAGATGGTACATTCAGTCAGGGTTCTTCTCTTAATGTTTTGTTCTGTTTGTTTCCAAGGATAATTTCTCTCACTTGGCCTTCTACTCTTTTCATCAAGTGTTTATAAGTAGATGTCTTGTGTGAAAGTGAGACCTTAAAATTGTCACACGACCACATTTAGACTGTTTAGGGAAACTCTGAAACCTGATGCATGAGAAATAGTATGCAAACTGATTATTCAGAAACTGGAAAAATAGCCAGGAGTTTGGGAATGCAGGCATATTTTCCAAGCACCATGGAGGCACTTAACTACGGTTTAGATGGAATGTGTTACTCCTTGATTTAGTTCTAGCAAAATACTCAAGAAAATGTGAGGCCTCCCCAGGACACACTAAGTTTTGGTTTTGCAGTTGCAGCTGTCCACAGAGATTAAGGAATTTGGATCAGTTCCAACCTTAACATGTTGGAATAGCAAAATTCTGTTTGTTGTGTCAGGTGATGGTGCCTTTAAATAAACACACTAATTTGTGTCCTGAATGTTGGCATTGAGGTGAGGATAGAAATAATAGAGGAATATTAGAGCTAGAAATAATAGAGGAATAATAAGCAATATTAAGCTTCCTTCCTGTTTCTAATTTAACTGTTACAGTATACTTTGAATATGAAAGTGCATATATGACTTTCATTTCAATATGGACCTGGATCCTAAGCACTGCTTCCAGCTGAGCAGTTTTCTGCAGCTTCCAGAAGCCCGTGAAACCTACAGGAGCACACCAAACAGTCACGGGTGTGATCTTATATCATTCTGCACAGCTTAATAAATGAGGCACAGCTATTTTATACATTTAGAAGAAATAATTCACTATACAACTTCTAATACATCCACAGGAAATGAATACAGCAAGGGCACTGGGCCTGTTGATTTTGCAAACGTGAATAGACTTCGCTCAAGGGAACAACTCTGTTGTCCTCAGTAGGAGGGAAGTACCCTGCAGCAGCTGAAGAGTGAAAGAGATGTTTCAGAAATCATTTTCATTGTTAGTGGTGTTCAAATTGTATTTAAAACACTGTATTATAAAAAACCAAATAAATGCCCCAATCAAAATTTCACCAGGCAAAAATCTTTGTTGAATCTATTTTCAAAAAGCAACCAGTTAGAGGTCAGGTGTGGAAAGAAACAGTTCCTTGCTACTGCTCCCAAACATGTCTGAAACAAAACAGGGGATGTATAAAACATTGTTCTTACCAGCAGGTACCATCAACTATTAAATTCTCTGTTAATGGCATCACCAGGGACCATGACTTAGGTCAACAGCTTGGCAGGAGGTGCTGGCAAATGTTAAATCAACAGCAATCAAAACTGGAAAACCAACATGCTTGCTACCATCAAATATAAAAGAGAACTTATTGTGCCTCAAACACAGCAGCAGGTTTAATAGAAAAGTAGACATGTTTATGGTTTCAGATTTACAACAAGTCTTATAAAGACCTTATTACTCAGAATCCAGTCTGCTGCCCTAGAAACTAAGAATGTTACTTTGTTGAGAAGAAGGATCTGTTGACACAAATGTTTTGCCTGGCCTTGCCATTGTGGTTAACCAAAATACATTTACTAGTGAGAAGGTAAATAAAAGCAAACAAGATGCCTCTTATACCACAATATAGTAATGTTCAAATTGACCAAGCTTAATGCTATGACATAAATATGCTTAATGTTTATGGAATTTTTCTAGGACCTGTTTGCCCTGTTGGGCTTAACGTCTTACATGAGACCTACTGAATGGGAATGTGTTTTCGGTATTACACATACTTAAAGACCTCATAAAAAATATTCAGGGGAGCTGCCATGAATACCACAGTTAACCACGCTGCAAATAAAATGGGTCATGGTTTACTCTTAGATTAACATGAATACATCAATCTTGTCCCATATAGTATATGTACACAGAAAAATTAACTGACAATTGAGGTGATAACACTATTGGAACCAGGGCTGTATAAATATAAATCAACTGCACAGACTGCACTGAAAAAAACACAGTAGCTCTTTGATCTGCAAGAAAACAGAGAAATTGGGAAATGCAGCTCTGGTGTCTGAGCTTCTGTTAGTGGATGCAGGGTCTTGCACCACCGCTTCTCTAGTAAGTAACCCAAAGCATGCCCAGCATCATCTGATTCTAATGGAGAAACTCCAGGCCACAAAAAGCTGAATGGCCAATCTTAGATTGCCCTGCTGCCATGCAATAAACTCCTCATTTTTTGTCTTCCTCCCATATGGAAGACAAGAAAGACAAAAAAGAGTGAGAGGGAAACTATTGAGAAGAAAATAAGACCATAGTATATCCATTTCAGTACACAGTCTCAGACTGAATCAGGTTGGTTTGCAAGCTAAGAAATCTTGAAAGGTGATTCCCTTTTATCTGAATTTGGGTTTTGTTAAATTCATGTTTTAAGACTCATTAATTCTATTTTTTCAAATTAAGCTTGAAGCCATAAAAAAGAAAGTAGAAGACCAATCTCCAGTGGCTTTAAAAAACGTCTGTTATAAAGTTTTGCTCCACAACCTGTCTATGTAAGTAGAGATATAGCACTAAAATGATCTTGTTTTCTCAGTACATCTCTGAGCAAGCCTGGAGCATCACATCAGAAGTGTTACAAGTAGTATGAAAACCAAAACCAGTCAGCAGCTGTTGAAGGAAGGAAAAAAAATAAAAGGTGAAAGTATTAAGATCCTGTGACTGTACAGTAAGGGTGTAGTTTATACTACATGCTAAAAATCAGCATGGAAAGGGAAAATTTTTGCTCAGAGATCACAGATTCCTTCAGAGAAAATCCCCACAGTGCAGCTGTAATTTGTGACAGTGCAACAAAACCACTCAGTGGAATAATGCTATCAAGTAGTAGAAGTTTTCCACCTCCATAGAAAAAGTCCCAGGCCCTGATTTCCTCAGCTTCTCCCTCCTTTTTCTGGCATTTTTCTTTCTTGGTGATGGCAAAGGAAGCACAATAGTCAGTCACTCTGTATTTAACAATATTGTGCAAAATCTTGGGAAACAGCATTTCTTACATTACCTTCTGAGAGAATGAGGTCTTGGGAATTGGTTAGACACATGGCTCAGTTGTGGAAGATCAGCCCTGCCCTGAGATACCATTCTCCAATAACTCCCATGTTTAGACAAGCCACTGTAAACACTCCTTGCCCTCGCCATCACCAAGTAAACCAGATTAATTTCTATTAGAAGTGCTCACATGTCTGGGTACTGTGTGTGAGCTAATAAAGCCTGATCACCTCTAGAAAGTCTCCAAGAAGGAATTAAGGAATTGAATGACTTGCTGACCATTCCTGAGCATCCTGGTTTTTAGTTGTACCTTTCCCCACTGAAAAGCTCTCCATTTGACCCACAGAGTTTCTTTTTCATCTGTTGCAAAAAAAAAAAAAAAACAAAAAAAAAAAAAAAACCCAAACAAAAAACCCCAAAAAAACCCAGAAAAAGAGGTAAGCTAGAAGGAGGGAGATAGAGGAAGTATTTACAGTAGTTTAACCAATATTCTGGGGGGGGGGGGGGGAAATGCTCTCCAAAGATCTAAAGATCTGGTATCAGCTATGCTTTTGAATGGTATCCTTTTAAAATTCTGCTGCCAGAACACATTCATCAGCTACTCATCCACAGACCACAGGCAGGTGAAATCCTCTCCAACTTCACTGAGTTTTAAGTAGGTCAATGTGATTGTAAGGCCGCTCTCAACGATTCAAGAATAGTTTTGAAACTGTTCTTGATCTGGGAACATTCTTGAGATATAGAAGAAAAAAAATACCACTCATGTATTCAAGAAGGGCAATAAGGAGAATCTGGAGAGCTACAGGATACTCAGCCTCAACTAGTCCCTGAGAAGGGGAGGAAACAAGAACCTTCCTATGAAGGTCAGAATACTGTGTCAATTAAGGTATGAAAAAAAAATATATATATCAGATAAAATAATAGCGGTTAACTTCATTGATAGAGTATTTAACTCAGGGGGTCCTTAGCCAAAACAAATCAAAGGCACAGAATAATCTTTAGAGAAGATTAGTCCATGCAGACTATTCTTACCCTCTCATCACAAGCATTTGCAGAATCACAAAATCAGTGAGGTTGGAAAAGGCTTCTGAGCTCATCAAGTCCAACCTATGACTGAGCATCACCATCTCAATGAGACCATGGCGTGCCCAGTCTTTCCATAAACACTTCCAGGGATGGTGACTCCATCACCTTCGCAGTTAGCCCATTCCAGTGTCTAATCCCCCTTTCTGTGAAGAAATTCCTTCTAATTCACTGCTCTTTTTGTCCCAGACATGATAGCATGGTAATTCTTACATAGTTTATCCCTATTTACAACCCATCTCAACTGAAATAGGAAATGGCTTATCAAGTTAATGCTCTGAGCTAATCTTCCTTGAAAAATGATAAATAGATAAAGATGAATCAAAATCCAATAAGTAAATTATAGTTTAAATTGATAACATGAGAGAGAAAAATGGAGCATTTGTATACTGAGACTGGAAAACAAAAAGAGTTAAAACATTTTATTCCAAATTTTGGCAATAGTATTTATCTTTTGAGATTTAAAATAACTCTTCCAAAAAATAAGGGTATAGATTTTTCTACAGTGTTGATATGGCAGAATAATCACTATGTTTTTAAAAATGTTTCATCAGAGACCTTAATTTTCTTTGAATCCTGCAGGTAAAGTACCAACATAATCCTCTTTTTAAACATATGTTTAAAAAGCATTTCAGACTTTTAGGTACTTCTGGGATTTTACAGTAACCAAGAGTTCTCCCTTGTAAAGGAAGTGGAGCTGTGGACTGTGGGTGATAGTACATGGGCATAAAACTTAATTTACTTTGGAGGTGAGGTGTTTGGGTATTGTGATTTTGGCTAATAGACCTGTGATTTGGGAGTTGGTACAGTTCACAATTGACCTTTTTAAATGACTACACGATGCACATTTCTCATATACAAATAGAAAGTATTTGTCACAGTGAAAGACACCTTTAGGATATTTGTCACACTATCTCTTACTGAGGGAGAAGGATGAATTTTAGAGAGAAAGATTAAACATTTGTAGAGGTAGTAAACTGCAAAGGCACGATCAGCTGGAAACCTGAGCATATTCCATAATAGGGAGAGGGAATGCATGTTCACTGCCTGAAACTCTATATTCTGCCTCTATGGAAGGTACCAGCCAGACAGATGCAAGAAGGAGAGGCCTTTCTTTGTAGGTCAGCTACAGATTTTCTTCCATTTCTTCAGCTGTGTCCTTAAAAGCACTTCTAACTATGCTGGCTATTTTGTCTACCATGTGTGGGGCCTTGATTTGCATTTTGTTTTGACTTGTCTTGAGACTATCATAATTCAAAATAGGCAGAGAATGAAAATAATGAAGTTAATCAATAAAGCAAGACTCTGGGACATGTTAGTGTGTGTCCTAATTCCTGTGCACATCATAGAGATAATACTGTATCTCTCATTTGGACTTAAGATGAAAAGCAAATAAGATAGGACAGGGAGCAGTGGTGGGAGAAGTGTCTTCCAGCAAAGGTTGTTGACACTCAATGCACATTAAGGGTTGTGGACAGAGTGTTCCACTTGTCAGTTCAATTTTTGATATCCTCTGCTGTAAACATGGGAAACCCAAATTAATATTATTTCATCAAAAGAAAAATCAGGTTTTTTTCATAACAAGATTCTATCCAGCAACTAAGTGAACATGACTCAGATTAACCAAGGTGCCACCCCTTAAAATAAATCTGTACCTAGTCTGAAGAACTTCCTTTCCAGCCTGAGTCAGAGCAAATAAGTTTCAAGCCATGACAGCATTACTATTTCATAGACACACAGCCCATTAACTCAGTTACTAGCCTCCATTTTCTGCTACTCATTAAAATTCACAAAAAAAATAACATTTTTTTCATATAACTCGTTGTAGCAGTGAAGTGTTATCTATCAAGAAGGTGCTTGACCATTCACTACTTCATGTTTGTGCTCTGAAGACTGCAAGAGATTCCAACACGTTTCTTGGTATAATTAAAACTGGGTTGATATCGATGACCGTGGAAATGATTCCTTAACTTTAGGACTGGGACTGTTCTCACTTTGATTTTGAAATTACTCACATATTTCTCTACTAAATGCGTGTAACAAAATCTGTGTTTCTTTTGTTATTTTGAAAGGGAGACAAAAGTTACCTAGTGTTGGAGTGAAGAATGTTTCCATTTTCATATTAATTTTTACTGATCTTTTTATGCTTTTTGGAGGTAAGAGCACCACCAAGGCGAATCAGATAGATTAATCAGGATGGAAAGGCTCAGTTCAGAAGCCCAAATTCTCAGTATTGCTCTCCTGTGTTACCGAGAGATATCTCTCTGTCAGCTTCTCCCTCTGTCTTTCCTCTGATGAAAAATTCCCATTTGAACACTGTGATGTGAAAGGATGCCTGGCATATTTCATTGCCACCTGTTAATCTATGTCTACATCCAAATGATTTTGAAAGAAATTAAAAGAATCTGGTTTATCTAGATTATTTTAAGATGTAAAACAAGATTTTTCTTTTTTTTTTTACAGTAAAACTACAGTAATTAATTTGACACAGTGCATCTTCATCTTGAATGTCTACATGGTATTTATGAATTAATGTAACAGATTAAGTACTAATTAATCAGACGTGCATCCCAACTATTGATACAAGGAAAACAGAGTTGACACAAAAGAAAAAAAAAACCTGCAATAACAGAGGCTCTGAATTTCACATAATCTCAATGCGCTATCTAATTCAAAGAAAAAAATATCAGAATCATGACCAGAATGCAAATGCCTTTCCTTCTACTGCTAATTATCCTTAATAAAATCATCTGAGCTAAAAGCTGCTACTAACCGATAGCAGAAATACCTTTTCTTTATAATATTTAATCTAAACAACTTGTGTTTTATTTTAAAACTGTGCTTCTTTGTCTTGTCATATCTGCTTATGAAAAAGTCATTCTCCATTTTTTGAAGTCCCCTGAAATACTGGATGGCATTAGTGAGGTTTCCCTGGAGCCTTCTTTACTTTCAACTCTCTTAGCCTGTCTTTGTTGGAAGAGTGGTTCCAGCCTTTGCATCATCTTTGTGACCCTCCTCTGGACCCAATTCCAGCAGGTTAACATCCTTCTTGCATTGAGGACCCTGCAGCTGGAATCACAGAGTCATGGAATCTTTTAGGATTGGAAAGGTGTGACCAACAGCGACCCATCACTGTCAGAGGTGCAGATGCCCCATGGGGAGGCTGCAAAGCGATCATGACCTTCTTTGAAATGTTTCATTTCTGTCATTCCTCATGTGACAGTGACTGGGAGAGCTCAGAGGGCAGAGACCTCTAGAGAAGATGAACACAAGCAAAAGAGGAGTTAGCAGTGAAGATAAGCAGAAAAATAAGTAGAAAGAGGGCATAGTACATTCCTCAATTTCCTCATTCTGGAGGCTAGAAAGAGGTCTGAGGGTGAATGTGAGTGCGAATGAATGTGAGTTCAGCTCTTTACTCAAGGAGGACACCTACCAGCCTGCAGGAGTTGAAGGTCACTGATCTTGAGATATTGCCTGATGCTGAAGAGATTCCACAGACAGGATGCTGAAATTGCCCATGGTTGAAAAGTTTCCAGCTGAGGGTATTTGCCAAAATGTTGAAGGTAAGCCTAGAGCTTCATGTAAGTTTTTAAAAAGATGTAAGTTTTTAAAAACAGGTGAATTATGGGCCAGATAGCGTACCTTCTTGATAAAAAAGATAAGGGACAAAACCAAAGAGAACAGGAAGGAAAAAAGGTCATGATAGAAAGAAAATAGAGTTAATGGAAGTAAATTAGCTCTAACTTGGAGAATACAGTTGTAGTTAGTGCCTTGTGCTGAGGATAACTTACTGCGTGCTGTGACCACACTGATATAACATCAGTGAGTACATGAACCTCACTTCCAAAGTTTAGTGCCACTGTGGAGAAGGAGCCAAATCCCCAGCACAACCTGAAGCCTCAATGGACACACAGACTATTGCTCTAAATGATAACTGTAAGTACCTCTAGGACAATCACAGATAGGTAATCTAAACTACAAGAGCTACAAGTTTCATTTAGTTTCAGATGAGTTACACAAATGACAAAAAGACCCCACATCTTCAAGGAATTCCAGGAAGAATTCCCTCAGTTCTCCACAGCATGCTGCAAACCACTAGAACAGATCACTACAGAAATAATCCAGGGAATTTCTTCATCAAAGCTTTGTTTTTGAAGAAACTACATGAACATTTTTAAAATTGGCTTCAGAAAGTGAAAGAATTAGGTGTAGAAATTAAAGCTTCCTGGCATAACACTTTAATGGAACACATTCATAGTTTATGGAACAACTGATCCACATGTACTAGATTTTTGAAAACACTGTTTTCTCACACATTAACTCTTCCCTGTTTGAACTAGGGCTGTTCCCTAAACTGCTCTACAAAATGGGCATATTTTTTCCTTCAGGTACTAGTTAACAAAATCAACTTCTCTTAGTCCATGCCCAAGTGTCTCATAAACAGAATGGCAGCTCAAAGTTTGAGGTTATTTTGTAACCTTGTCCTGAAAGACAGTTGTGAGAACAGGGATTCCAATTCTAAACACCTAAAGAAAATGTCTACCCAGTTTCACTTAAGGCAGCCTTCAAAGAATAGTTATGTCAAAAACTTCTTCCTTCCATTGATTACCAAAGGAAAAGTCTGGACTGCACTCTGGGGCATGGCCCCACTAGATGTTACTGTACTGTCACTTACATGAGCTTAATATTCCCTGTGTTGGGGACACAGTTTGTCCCTAACAGCATGTTCAGATTTCCCAGATGAACAAACTAGGAACAAAAAAACCAAACCAAACCAAACCAAACCAAACCAAACCAAACCAAACCAAACCAAAAAAAGCACTTAAGCTGAAGACGGTAAAACAGTAGAAAGACTTGTTTATAAACAGGGTATATTAAGGAACTGTTAGAAGTAGCTTACACAGACATGGTTAAACATACTAGATTTCAATGTGTAATAAGTTAGGAATTCAACAAGGTACAAAGAACAATGAAGCTCAGCATCTGAGAAAAATGATTTAGTATGGAACAGGAAAGAGGCAAGTTGCCAGTTACAGGACATTATGCATTGTTTTATTTTTCTCCCTCTGAAAAGCAGCTCAGATTTAATTTAAAATTCTGACTGGTTGAGTTAAATAAAACTCAATCCAAACTCTGTTGTAATGGAAATCACATCTATAATTTCAAATGCATTCATTAAATTAATAGGTCCTTTTGCCTTTCTTTTCAAGTATCAAAACTCAGATCCATTACAATTCTTTAAAACCTTGAATCAGTGTGCTCTGTATGCCTCTTGCTTAACACAACCTTTCCAGAGGCTTTCTTCCCAAAATAACTCAATTCTGTTCAATCCTCACCATCCCCATGCACTCAATATCTACACCTTCTTCCTTTTTTCTTTTTGATTTGCAGCTTTGTCTTTTGCAACTTCCAAGCTCATAGCACCTCATATGCTTGGGAACTTACAATAAAATACTTCCACATCACTACAGCTGGAAAAAGTGTAAGTCAGCATTTGTGTAGTCCCAGTTAGGATTGAAGTTGACTTCAATCCTAAAGCTGTTTTTAAAGAATGCCTTCGTTGAGCTCTTCCCAGGTGGCTTCAGGACAAAAAATTTTCTCTTGAGGAAAAGTTGTGATGTGAAAAGGCATGAACTCACTGCATTTCCATACAACGTAGAAAGAATTTGACCCATTGTGACAAGGTGAACATTTCTACAGGAAAAGAAACAGCAATTCAGCCTTAAAAAAAACTCATAAGTTCAAAAAAATTGAAAGAAACACATAACTATATATCTGTCTGAAGGCCATGATAAGGAGTTATATTAGGAAATGAACAAATGAAGAGAAATGTTTACATTATGCTTATCTGGCTAATTTGCTTATGAATAGTAAGAATGACTTAACACTGTTCTCTTGAATGCCAATTGTTATGCCACTTGTGAGTGATGTGTACAGAGCAGGACAACCCAGAAACAAGACTTTGGATTTGGGCATGTTGTAATCAGTGGCAGCCAAACAAACACAAAGGTATTCTAAAGAAAGAAACCAGCCCTGAAGGGCAAAGGTACCATTGCTTTGTATAATTAATTTAAATATTCACAGACCTCATAATTATGATTTGGAAAGCTCATTCATGGGAAGGGACACATTTTACTAGACCAGGTTGCTCAGAGCCCCATCCAGCCAGGCCTTGAACACTGCCAGGGAGAGTGAATCCACAGTTTCTCTGTGCAACCTGTGCCAGGGCCTCACCACCCTCAGGGTAAAGAATTTCTTCCTAGTATCTAACCTAAACGCACTCTCTCAGTTTGAAGCCATTCCCCCTTGTCCTGTCACTCCAGACTCATGCAAATATTCCCTCTCCTTCATTCTTGCAGGTTTCATCAAGTACTGGAAGGCCACACCTTTGTCCTCTAAGCCTTCTCTTAGTCACCCCTAAGCCTTCTCTTCTCCCAGTTGAACAATCCCAACTCTCTCAGCCTTTCTTCAAAGAAATGTGCTCCATCACACCAGTGGCCTTCTCTGTGCTGGCTCCAGCAGGTCCCTGTCCATCCCATGCTGGGAGCCCAGGGCTGGATGCAGTGTTCCAGGTGGGTCTCAGCAGAGCAGAGCAGAGGGGCAGAATCCCCTCCCTCCCCTGCTGCCCACGGGGGCTCCATCCCTGGATGCAGCCAGGGATGGATGTGGCTTTAGAGAATTCAGTAGGGACAGTGCATTTAGAAAGCTTTTCATAGCACTTCTTTTGATTCTTACTAAAAACTTCAGAGAGCAAAATTATTAAGTACTCCAAGGAATCTCCTTTTAGAAAAGGAAATACAACTTACACTTGTCAGTTCAGGAGCTCCCTCATTAACCCCACTGGATGACCAAACAAGCTAAAAGAAATCATGGTTTTCATCTCTTTGATCACAGTCATCCTTTGATGAACAAACCATCACACTGTCACTCATTAGAAGTCTAAAGTACCCAAAGATATTTTCCTTCTTGCAGCACTGTGCAGTTGGTTTTGTCAGTAGAAAATAGATATTTGTATTATCTTGTCTCCTTGTCTTTGTTCTGCATCTTGTTCAAATTCCCCACCTCCTTCACCTCTGCTTTGCCCTCTCTTTCTTCCCCACTAACATTACTACCATGTGTACAACCTCACACAAGGGGTTGGTTTTTTTTTTTTTGGCCCTTCACACTAAGTGCAAAAATGTAAAACCTGCAGTCCTCTCTATGTTACCAAAGGATACAGTATTACTTAAAATCTTGTTTTTGCCAAAATATTTTCAAAGTATCTGGAGAGGAATCAAACCACAGTGGCTCTCAGTTGTATTTCCTTTTACTATTTCCTCAGGTACTCCCAGCACAGCACTAAGTAATTGGATAGTCTTACAGGAAAACAAAAAAGCTCCACAAGACAGTCTGTAGGTTTAAGAATTATCCTTCTGGGGCCTGTGGGGATGAATACAGGGCACACAGTTGCCAGACTTGAAATCCTTGATTGTTTTAGTTGTTCCTGAAGACAGGAATCATATATGACAGTTTGTACAAAATATACTGATTATATTCAGCCCTTGTAATGCTGTTTCAAATGATTGACATTAACTGTCACTTTACTCTGTTGTGGTATTTGGTCCTGCCTCTATTTCAGATGACCCTTTTCCCATAATATAGATACTATATTGTAAGTTTAGACTTACATTACTTGTAAAGAATTAACAGTGCAGTGGGGGAAAAGTTTCTAATGCAGGTAAGTTTGCTAAATTAATCATAAGATGATATGCTGTAACTGCTATCATTCCATTTTACATGGTATCTAACTAAATCTTGTTACATCCCAGACTTCAGCTTATATTGAAAACACAGCTGCAAGAATTTTTTATATAAGCCAAACATATATTCCTTGTATACTGGGGGTCTTCCCACAGGCCACCTGTAGTCTACTATTTTTAAATTTTACTTAATTCTTCTCAAGCTATTTGTGGTCTTGCTGACATCTTCAGAAGACTTATTCCACATCTCTCTTCAGGAGTGTTAAGACCTTGAGAACACAGACACTTCACTTTGGCACTAAGGGTTCTGTATGTTTCTCTTGATGGTTGCTGAATTCTCTCCCACTAAAACTGGAAAAAAAATTTAAAGCTGAAGTAGGAAAAGGCTTTTTGTCATGTGCCTTAATTATTGTCATAGAAAGCCTGATGTGAATGAATTTTCACTATGTTTTTCTTTCTCTGCAGGAACATACTTCCAGTGGGGAAGAGGGATATCAGGCATTGTTTGGTGAAGAGCACATGAGAGACTGGCTGAGGGAGCAGCAGAATAAACACGAATAGCACAGCCCACATGATACAGAATTTATGGCTAGCCCCAGAGGGATGTCTGTTGTATGCAGTGTGTACAGCTAGGGGTTTGTTGGATAGACCTTTCAGTGAGTAAATTGTTCCCTTACATCTTAGAGGTGCCAGTATTTGCAGATGGACTGTAATGTGTTTGTAAGGAGGACATGACAGCTCCCTGGAGTACACAGTGTTGCTATTCAGTATATGGGCCCTACTGCAATAATGTCTTACAGCCCTTAATATGCCTTCTCAAAAATTATTCTCTTGAAAATATGCACACAAAAACAACATATATACAACCGGAGCAATGTCCAAAACACAGAACCTTTCACCTCAAGCAGGGATTCTCTCATCACTCAGTGTAACAGCATCCCTTTCCAAAAAGTGTTCGGAAGAATTACATACTCTTGCAGTTGAAGTCAATGTATTTATGCTTGGTGGAATGGAAACTGATATTATTCTGTTCCATTCCTGTGCTGGTTTTGGCTGAAAGATTTTCTCCATAGTAGCAGGTATGGAGCTGTGTTTTGGATTTGTGCTGAAAACTGTTGATAACACAGGGATGTTTTAGTTACTGTTGAGCAGGGCTCACAAAGAGCTGAGGCTTTTTCTGCTCCTCGCCCCACCCACCAGTGAGGGACCTGGTGGTGCACAAGAAATTAGGAAAGAACACAACCAGAACAGCTGACCCAACTGACCAAAGGGATACTCCATGCTATAGGGCACTGCAGTCAGCATACAAAGCTGGTGGAAGATGGAGGAAAGGGGCATGTTTGGAGATGGCATTTGTCTTTCCAAGTCACTGTTTCATGTGTGATGGAGCTCTGCTGTCCCAGGAATGGTTGAACACCTACCGACCCATGGGCAGTGCTGCATGCATGGCTTTTGCTTTACCTACTAAACAGTTTTTATCTTAACCCACGAGTTTTCTCAGTTTTACCTTCCCAAATCCCTCCCACATCCTACCACGCAAATAAGTGAGTGGTTGTGTTGGACAGATTTTCTGACTGGGGTTAAATCATGATAACTGCCAAGCAGAAATAACCAAAAAGCGAATGAAAGACAAAATTGTTCCCAGATTCAAATACTGCATTGCTGTGCACTGCTGATATCCCAATATGTGACAGTATCTTTGTGCTTCTGTGAAGTCTGTAGAGACGGAGTTGGTGGCATCACTGAGAGCAGTCCTTAGTCTGAAAATGCATTTTGGATACATAAGGCAGGAAGCAAAAATCCATCATAATTTTGCATTTTTAAATCTTGTTCCTGGGATCATACAGCAGGATATTTCACCTCATCTATTTTTGCTACTATGTTCATAATATAGATGAAGCAGACCCTCTCAGAGAAGAGGCACAAGGACCTGCAAGGGACATTTTCATTTGCTGTTCCAGAGAGAAGAAATCATCTGTTCATTCTGATTTCCAAAATGCTTTCTGACCACAATGACTTAGAGAAGTTACATAGACAATGGAGCTGAACTCCCTTGTGTAGTGGAAGGTTATAGAATAAAGATGCCAACCACAGTTTAAGTTTTAAGAGGTTCAGACTTGAGACTGGAAAAAATTCTCCATGGGACAGCATTACAGTACTGCAATGAGCTACTCAAAGAAAAGTTGGAATGTCCATACTAGGAGCTTCTTAACACACACAACCAGGCACAGCACTTCATTAGCTTTGATGTAGAGTCCTCTCTGGAAGATGACTATTTATGGCAGCAGAAATAGAAAAGCAGTGGAAAAGCACTTTAACACAGATCTGTCTGTGCTTTGCTCCCTTCTGAGGTGTTGAGCAAATGCCTGCAATGAATAGTGTCTTATGGTTTGAATTGTGCTCTGTCTTTCTGTAAAGAAAGTAGGCTCCATAATCCCCATAACAATCCAGTTTCCTGTGTTTTTCCCACTCATGCAGTCACTATTTTTCCCAAGGATGAAAGAGTCTGTATTTCTTTAAAATAATTTATTCAAAAATACTCCAGCTCTTACCTTCCTATTGGCTGCTAAGCTTAAGGAGCAAGATTTTTCAAAGTCACCGTCCAGCCAGACTCTAAAATGAAACAGAATTATTTATTTTTTGAACATCATTGCTTTTTTTGATGGCACCCGAGCTTATAATTGGTCCCAAGTTTTTTCTTAATTTCTCCATATTTGTTCTTACTATGTTTTATTATCATGAGGATAGAAAATATGAGTCAGTAACCTTCATATCATTCATTACACTCACTTTTGGGGGGGTTGAAGCCTAAGGCTAACAAAAAGTGTCAAATAAGTCAATAAACTGAAAAAAACCTCTACTATTTACCACCTACAGCTGTGTTCACATTTGCAGCAGTATCATAGCTAGTCTAACATGTTTAAAGAATTAAGCAAAGCAGTCCCACAGAAAGGAATGTTTAGGCTCTCAAGTGTTACACCTGAAAATAAATATATTATGAGGTGTTCTTTTAAATGGAGCATGAAATGTCTGTAGATAAAATTTTTATATTCTTTGATGTGTAAATAAGGAATCCACATTAGACTTGGACTGCTGAAAGTATAACTAGTCCCCATACTTTCTTTATTAAAAAACTTTACTGTTTGCTTTCAACTTTTCATTTTCCTGACATTATCTTCTTGTTTGCAGCTGAATTATAAATAACCACTGTTACAGAAAGTCTATTCTTTCAGTATTTCCTGTTAGACAAAAAAGCATTATTAGCTGGATGTCTCTAGTGCTCATTTGTTCTCCAGAGACTTTCAGATATGTATTTAAGGTCAGATATTCAGGGCATTTAGACAAATTACTGTGTGTTTCTCTAGACCCACTTCAGACCAGCTGATTGGTCCTAGCCATCCAAAGTAGCACATTTCCCTGGAAATGGTGACTAAAGAAATCTTTCACCACCAAAATCCAAAAATTTTAAGCCAAAAGTTAGTGATGACCAATGGACCTTTTCTTCATTCACTTAACAGTTACTCCATGGTTGAAATTACTTAATTATGTTCAATCAGACTTTGAAATCTTTAATTGCAGAGTACATCAAAACCTCTGTGAGTTACACCCTCGACAGCAATGTTCACAGGAGCCACAAAGAAGAACAGGAACACCCACATTGGCCAACAGGACAGTGATGGACAAAGAGGTCCAAAGAGCCGCTTTCCTGCTAGACCTGGTCAGTGTCTGTGACTCCACACTGGATGCTTGAATTAAAATGTGGGTAACAGTCTCAAACCCATTTCTAACTTAAGTTTCCAATACTGGTTACCATATTCTTTTAAAAGATAGGGAGAGGTCCTGGTAGTGCCACATTTTTGGTAATGGGCTAGTGGTGAGAGTATATGTGCAGGATGTGTGAGTCCTAGTCTCAGTGTTATGCTGTGTATTCTGAAAATGTCCATAAATAACTTCCTGCAATTGGCTACATTCCCTGGAACTGTTATTGCACTTAGGAGAAAGTCAATTTGCATTTTGGCAAACAGTGGCCCCACAAATTCTGGTTTTCATGGGAAATATGCAGTTCATCCAGAGCATTGCTGAACCACAGGGTGCCATTCCTGAATGAGCATTGTCAGCTGAAGTTTTAGTGCACAAAGACTGGTGGAACCAGCTTCACCAGTTTTATGTTTTCAGCCAAGGTGGGTGGAGTTACCATGGGTGAGCAGTGGATAAGGAGCCATGATAACAGCCCAATCCTGCTGACAGGCCACTCACAAAATTTTTTCAAGGGATAACCTTCTTTGGGAAATTCAAATATGTGCTACTGAGTGTCATTTAGGCACTACTAACCAAAAACATCTTAGGATAAGTCAAGGAGCAATATTCTAGATTATTAATTTCACTAGTGGTAAGTAAGTAGCCCTTTGGTTTAATTATGGAAATAAGATCTGTAGGTTGCTCATTCAGTTTAGATACCTGATACACACACTAGACTCCTAAATCCTTTTTCAAACTTGTATTTCAGTTGTCTGAAAATACACCTTCCCCCTCATATTGACAGAATTTTTTTCCTTTTTCTTTTTAAAAATGTTATCTCACCTCTCATGTCTGATACGGAGAAATAAGAATCTTAGGTTAACACACATCTCTCTAAAGGCATTATATAAGCTTACCTGGCGTAGCTGCTCAGTAATATCTCAGAACAAACAGTTTGACTTCTGATCCTGAGCCTCTTCATCAGGATTTTATGCTCTGAGAAGGGCAATGTGCACCATTCTGTGGTCTTTAACTTTATAATGGAAGTTTTTCCTTTTGATTTAAATAAAGTAATCCAAATATTAAAAAGCACTTATAGTGACATTGTCTCAGAGTCATTCTGCTGATTAGATGGAGACCCTGCACAGAGATACTTGGCTCTGCTTTTCCTCTGAAGCCCTGCATTTCATTTGTTTGGGAATTCAAGGCAAAAGTTCTTTGTGGGAGGCTTGTAGGGTATTCATTGCATCATTATACATTTCTTTGTTATGGCATTGACTGATTTGTATCATGTTCTTGTGGTGCTCAGCAAGCCTGGGAGCTCAGCCAGGTCTCTTATTACACATTTGACTACAGAAATGAGTACATTTGGGAAGACAGAAGGGTTATTAAACTGAATCATATTATGTCTTCATTTTTCTGCTTGTGAGTAGCGTGATTTAGAACTAATTAAGCCAGGTTTGGGGCTTTTGCATGAAGGCAGTGAGTTAAATATGAATCTGGTATGGACAGGGCAGTGATTTCTACAAAAAATTCAAAGAAATTCATTAATCTTACAGTAGTCACAGTTTCCTCCTAGTGCATATATCCAAAAAAAAAAAAAAAAAAAAAAAAACCAAAACAAAACAAACCCAAAAACAAACCTCTTTAGTGTGATTGCCTCTTGATCTTTAACACAGTTTTATACATTTATGCTTAGTTTGGCTCAGAATCACTTATCAGTCTCAGCAAAAAGATGGCTTCTCCAAGTATTACCCCTTCATATGCAATCTGATCTGAAGATTAAGTTAACTTCTTTTTTGTGACTCATCAAGAATGTTTCTGCAAGACAGTTCTGGCCTTAAATTTGTGGCCTAGCATTCACCTGTGCAAACAACTAAACGGAGAATTTGATCTCCAAAGAAATCACTCAGGAAACTATATTATTTTCCATGAGTTCTGAAGGGATTCTGTGAGGTTAAGGCCCCCTCAACCTATGTCTTGCTAAATATTTTCTCATATTTTTCTCTGTAGAAGAGAATATAAATACATACTTTTGTTTCTAAAGTAGCCAAAGATTTCCTTCTCATACAACTTATTCTAAACCTCTCCACAGTCTAGTCACAGGCCAGAACTGGATATTCATTATAATACAAATTGGAACTGCTGCATTGACCAATTTTCTGAGTGTTTTGATACTACTTGAGTGTTTCAATTCAGATCAATTTCTAAATATTTGGAAGATGAAAAATCTCAATCAGAGAAGACCCAAATAATAATCTCTTTTTATTAAAATTTTTCCTTCAAAACCAAGAAAGAAATACAGGTGTTCCTGGTTAAAAACTCACTACTTATGCAAGTAATTTTCAAAACAATACTATTAAAGTGATGCCCTGAGAGAAAACTATTAGAAAAAAACCTATTAGAAAACTAATAAAATATTATACAACTAAAAAATTATTAAACTAGCTCATAAAATTGTCAGCACAAAAGCTGAGTAGCAATAGCAACAATTCTACTGGGAATGCAGGTAAGGTAAATTGAGGCAGGTTGGGTTGGCAGGCGTGAAAATAAGGCACATTTTTGGGAACAAGAAATGTGGTTGAACACAATGAGAAGATAATTTATGATGAGTAGCTTATGCAAGAGAAAAATAAATAAAACCATTCAGTAATTAACCTGGAGGAAAGATTATCCATCCATGAGCTTTTTTAACTTCTTTATCAGCAAAACTAGTTTAATAAAACATTTTATGTTTCCATTTAAGTCCTTACTTTTATCATCATCATAAATAAAAAGAAAAAGAAGGCATATATTTGTAGTAAAGACTTTACACACATGAAGATTTTCAGATATTTTGTGTGCTCAATCAACACTGTAATTTTCGGGAAGGGCTGTAGCAGGTCGAATGCCCCAAGGCACATGTGGAAACAGCACCAGGTGTTTTTACCTTCCCGAGTATTGCTTTCATCTTGCTTAACAATCGGCTGTCATCTGCAGGGCTATTTCCTGCCCTTTGATGATTATATCAGCAAAAGACAAGATAAAGAGCAGGGTGTTATCATTCTGTTGTTGGTAGCTAAGTCTATGGTGTTTCTCTTTCCAATTCTCCCAGAAGCCTCATGTGGATTTTGAAAAAGAAATTTAAAAAATGCCAGTGTAAGCACTGATCACTGCAAGGTTCACAGAAAGAGAAGATGAAATTTATAAACTACGAAGAAACCTGGTAGACCACACCTGTGTACTCCTGCTACACAACAAAGGCACTAGTGCTAGTGGCCGTGTGCTTTTCTGTGTAAAGGAAGTCCAGTAGTTTGTTCAGGAGTGTTTAATGCGTGCTTATGGACTGGAGGAAGTTTTTAAGTACCCTCAGAACTCACAAATCCAGCTCATACACTGGGGCTGAGGATGTCTTTCAGGCTCTATGATAGCAGGAAGTCCAAAAGGAGTTAATGCTAATATGACACTGTCCAAAATGCTGGGATAAAAAGGTTTACTGTGTTTTGGCTATAAATAGACTACTCACTTACAAAAGAAAAGAAAACTATTTTTAAAAGACCTTAAAGACTAATACTTCAAAAATTGAAATTAATGTTATGGAGTCTAACTTCTGTAGGAACAAAAGACTCTGAGATCATTCCCAAATGCCACTGTAAAAGTATATATAGAAAAATTTTATGAGAGACATGAAATGTGAAATGAGCTTGGATTTGAATATTGTTACAAGGAGCCAAATAGTAAACTCGAAAGGCTATATTTTTTTTTACAAAGGAGAAATCAACAATTTTAACAATTGCAGG